ATGTCATTGTTCAATAAATGTCCAACTAGCCATTCTAATATGCAGTCGTGAATGGGTTGATGTTATTTATACAATTATTACAGTATTGCAGTAGTCTGCATAATAGTAAGTCTTCTATTTTTTGTTTGAATAAAAATTCAAAATAGAAAGCAAGAGTAATATCAGAGGGGCCTGGAGACATGACTGATGAACTAAGAAAATGTTATTTTAGAGCCAGGAATGTCTGCATTGTTCATTCTGGACCTTATTTTGAAATTGTCATATTTTTTAGTTTTCGTGAAATTGGCCAAATTGCAAATTTCTGACCACATTATTAGGTAGTTGAAATCGGTAAATGGGCAGTTTCTTGAACTCAATCGATAGAAAAAATGGATTTCTAAAGAAATAGCTATGAATTTGGGTGACTGGAACAATGGAATTAGCCGCAAATAGGGCTCAAAGTGGGCGAAATTGCCGATTTGTAAACAGCTCCAAGGTCGCTAACTTCGCGAGAGCATAATTCCGTCAGTTTTCCATCAAATTTCGTTTTTTTGTGTCATTACAATCGGGAAAAGATTCTCTATCAATTCATAAGAAAAAATAATTTTTTTTTTTAAATTTTGCGACACCAGGAGACACCTCAGGATTGGGGGTTGCGACAGTCGAAGGGTTAAAAGTGATCTGATATATCTGTGGCCCCTCTATAAACATGTACTTCCTGAAGTCTACTCAACAGTCTTTTATCTACCAATACATAATCCAACAAACTACTGTCATTTCGCCCTACATCATATCTTGTATACTTATTTATCCTCTTTTTCTTAAAATACGTATTACCTATAACTAAACCCCTTTCTATACAAAGTTCAATCAAAGGGCTCCCATTATCATTTACACCTGGCACCCCAAACTTACCTACCACACCCTCTCTAAAAGTAAGTACTGATCAGAAAAAAAAAATTTTTTGTCTTATTACCTTCACAAAAATATACTCTTTAATTCTGTAAGAATTTTTTTTTTTTTTTTTTTTTTTTTTTCAAAATTTCTTGGACACTGGAGCACCACTTCAGATTTTGGCCTTGGACCCTGAAGGGGTTAAACGACAGCCTACTGTACATAAAGAATTTTTATTCACACCAGAAAGTAGAAGATTTACTGTTATGCAATATTGTAATAATTGTATAAATAATATCAGCGCATTTGTGAACGCATACATGTATTAGTGTTTACGGATTATTGTGTCGCTCTTGGTAGCGGGAGTAGTGATAAGGCTTCGGAGGCTTCTTACTTTATTTGCGAAATTGTAGGTACACAGGCAGTGTGTTTGTGCCCATGGCCCAAAGGGCCATGCCCACCAGGGAGAGAGGAGTATGCCTTGTTGACTGTATGAAGGATTGGCGCCGAGTGAGAAAGAGGCAGGGTGATGCCATTTCAAGTGGCATGCCCACTGAGAGGCCTACAGGTGGCAGCATGAGCATGGCATGAAATGAACTCAGCTGGCAGACAGCATAGGCTGTCTATGCAGACAGTACAGGCTGTCTACATTCGCTCGGCCATGCACCAGCATGGTCGTCCCTGACCATGACTGGCTGTAAAAAAAAAAAACTCGGTCTCTCTCTCTCTCTCGCAGGAACAGGGCACAGAACACAGAATAAAAACATATATATATATATATACACATACATGGACATGGGAAAAAAAAGCTTCCTGCAGGGAGGGAAAAAAAAAAAAGGTGGGGTGTGCTAAACATCGTGGTCATATGCAGTGAGCGTCGATGGGCATCACCGCACGCCTTTCTGTGTCTGGACAGATACTGCAACACAGGAGACATCGCTGCAGCTGAGCTGTGACATAACAGGGTACAGTCTCCTCTGGAGCAGTGAAGCAGTCATCGTAGGAGCCGCTGCAGGGTTCACTCAACCTGGGGCACAACCTGCTGGTGCCCTCGAGTGAGGCATCGTCAGCACTTGGCAACTGGCAGGACTTCTTCTGGCAAGCAACTCAGGAGAACATTTCTCGACTGGTGCTGTCACTGGGGCTGGGGCTGTCACTGCCAGCGAGTGTGGAGTGAGTCATGGCAGAGACGACTCAGCGAAACATCTGGAAGTTGTAACATCATACACCATACTGCAGTGAGTGGGCTAGCAGTCAAAGTGACATCATCTTTGTGCAGGCTGCTCACTGAAGCTGTGACACGAGGCTGACACAGCGCCTGCTGACAGGGTCTAACTACGGCTTGAGTGTCATTCTCTCGGCAGTTGGAGTTACAGCAGAGGTTAGTCTAAGCGTCTCCAGACTGGTCTACACATAACTGAAGAAAACAAATCTTGATGGGAATCGTAGCGGGTGCAATTCTGCAGGGCATCACAAGCTGCGAACATAAAAAGCCTTCTATACAAGTGGCTTAGACGCTCGTAACTGACGCCAGGGTCCAGGTGCAGACTTGTGGTCCACACACAGCTGGGCTCAAGACCACACAGGACACATGGAAAACTGCACACACCTACTGCACATGCGGTTACAACATGATGCTTTCCTGTGCGAAAATTGACACGAAGCTATACACGAACATGTGAGAACACTGACTGAAAGGAATTAATTAGCACATGACATATATCTTCTCTCAATCTTTTCGACAACACAACATAGTGCTCACTGTGAAACTAACATTGTCAATATGACATCATGTGGTGATGTCAGGCGTGATGTCGTGAGGTGATGTCATGGGGTGAAGTTGTGAGGGATGTCATGGGGCAGCATCGCGAGGTGACGTCAGGCAGACATTGTGAAGTCGGGCAGCATCGTGGGTGATGTCGTGAAGTCGGGCAGCAGATCACAGCATGTGACTTGGGATGTCTGGCTTAACCCACATGGCTTCATGATTCACATGGCTTTGAGTGACCTTGGGGACTTGGATACACAGCTCTGGCCAAGAATTTACGTGAAAATTCACAGAAAACACAGCAGAGGGAGTGAGTAGCGGTGAGTGGTGTATGGTGGCGTACAGTAGGGTGAGCGTGAATGAGGCAAGGATCGGCCACTTCCTCCTCTCCCACTCACAAACATGGGGAGAAACACTCATACTGGATGTAGAAATCACCACAAACTCACCTCTAAGTTGCTGAAATAGCTGTGCTGCACTGAAAAACAACAGTAACATATAAGTGACGCTGAACACGTGACTTGAGAAACAGCATGAGGTGCTGTGGCATGGAGTCCCAGGCATGACGTCGTGAGGTGATGTCATGGGGTGACATTGTGAGGTGATGTCATGGGGTGACATTATGAGGTGATGTCATAGGGTGACATTGTGCAGTGATGTCAGGCAGAAAGGTGATGTCAGCAGACTTAATTTCTTGAAGAAATTCGACAAATTATGGCTAGATTCTGTGTGTACCTGTGTCAGGATGCTGAAACATGCAGACACGACATCAGGATAACTTGTTGAGAGACGGATGCTTCTTGTTTGGGGTGATGAAGTGAAGACGACTTCATCCCTCTTCCTTCCTCTCTCCGGGCAAACACACTTGCTGCAAGGCACCACTGTCACCAGTGTTTAAGAGTTTATTGGGGTCTTTCTTGGTAGCGGGGAGTAATGATAAGGCTTCTGAGGCTTCTTACTTTATTTGTGAGATAGTGGGCACACAGGCAGTGTGTTTGTGCCCATGGCCTGGAGGGGCCATGCCCAGTGAGGGAGAGAGGAGTCAGCCTTGTTGACCGTGTGAAGGATTGGCACCAAGTGAAAGAGAGGCAGGGTGATGCCATTTCAAGTGGCATGCCCACTGAGAGGCCTACAGGTGGCAGCACGAGCATGGTGCGAAATATGAACTCAGCTGGGAGACAGCATAGGCTGTCTATGCAGACAGCACAGGCTGTCTATGCAGACGGCACAGGCTGTCTATGCAGACAGCACAGGCTGTCTGCATTAGGTCCACCAGTTGACATGTATTGGACGCGTGACGTCACTTGTTTACTCTTGAACATAGGCAAAAATCGAACATTTTTGCTACTTTGAGCTCAATTTCAAGCTATTTTCAATACTAAAATCAATCAAAATCATCTCTATTTCTGCAATATATCTTTCATTCTATCAAATGAGACCAAGAAACTGCAAATACAACCGTAAAAACCATACAAAAATACACCGCAAAGTCGATGTTTTAATTCAAACACACGGTCTCAATATTTTTGTCTCATTATGCACTGCGTGCTGCAGGATTTGTTTTATATGGTGCACACTTACCACAAAGATGCATTCTCTCATATCTAGGCCCAAATTTACTGCTCACAGCTTATCTGAGTGAGCTGAGCTCATGACGTAGATCTCCAGCTTGGACCCTCATTGGGTTAAATAAAAAACACAGTCGCAGTTTTTTTTTTTCATGCACCGTGTGCTGCAGAATTTTTTATATACTGTGCGCACTGACCACTGTCTTCAAAGCTTTGATACAATAGGACTGGCCTCAAAAGGGTTAAATTCTAGCCTGTACTGCCTCTCATAGCTATGCTTTTTATTAATGGGCCTGAGGATGCCACCGGTTAGCCATGGGCTATTTAATCTCTGTTTGATTTTTAATGGGAAAAGAGTAATTGTTATTACTGCCTTCTGCTTATAGTAGTAGCAGTTAGTACAGTGGAACTTCAGTACTCAAACTTACTTAATTCTAGAAGGCTGTTTGAGTGCCGATCTGTTCAGGTATCGAATGACTCTTTCCCAACCAATTTTCTTTTTGGTTGGCTGTTATCACTAATCTTCGTAGGCTCCAAGGTGACTTATTTATACAAATAATATAAAAAAATGTCAAGAAACACGAAATAGTTTTCAATGAAGTTCTAGCAGGTCTTGTTTGTTTGGTCGAGTGCCGAGCTTTGTTCGAGTAGGGAGCTGTTCCAGTACTGAGGTTCCACTGTACAGGTGTACCTGTAATTGTTAAAGTTGGTCTGCTGTGAAGGTGTTTGCTGAGGACAGACTTAAATATTTTGCTGGAAGGTTTCACACTGTATGTGTGTGTTTGTTGCAGGATTGTGTGAGCAACATAGAACGTGGTGTGATGATGTTCTCCACCCATTTGGGGTTAAATGTGAAGTGTACCAACCGCAACACTCTCCTCTTCATTTTTACTCAGGTAAGTGACCTGTATCAACTGCATGTCACTTCTCTTCATGTTCTCTCAGGAAAGAGACACATGTGCATCATCTATATTTTGGGAACATTTCACCAACCAGTGACTTTATCATTTCAATATAGAGCATATTTGAGGTGATGAAACTTAAGACATTAGAAAATTGTGTAATCAGTACCATAGCTTAGAAGGTGTTCACCACTGTAGTCATGATGAATCTGAAGCATAGGCAAGACGATGATCACTTAAATAGGTGTCAGCAAGGTGCAGCAGTGGTACCATTTGTGATGATAATGACTTCAACTGCTGCACCTCTTCTGACACCTATGTAAGTGACCATCTTCCTGCCTTTGCTTCAGATTCATCAAGACTGCAATGTTGAACACTTTTATCTAGACTAACAGTGGGCAAACTGGGGCTCCCGAAGCTACTGTGTGTGGCTCCCGAGACAGTATTGGGGTTTTGTTTGCCATTTTTCTTAGAATTTTATATTAATCAATAGTAGTATGGTATGTACCAATATTAGAATATTTTTCAAACATCCATATGCTTTATGTGTCCAGATTGCTGTTTAACCCCTTTAAGGGGTTAAACAGCTTAAACCCCTGATCTCAAACTTACTCTCAGGGTCGTAGAATTTAAAAAAAAAAATAATTTTTTCTTATGAAATGATAGAGAATCTTTTTCTGAAAGTAATGAAATTTGAGAAAAACTTGTGAAATTATGTTCTCACAAAGTTAGCAAATATATATGCATTGGTGACTGAGCCCTATTTACTGCCAATTCCATTGTTTCAATCGACCAAACTCGGCTATTTCATTAGTATTCCTTCTATTCTGTTGATTGAGTAGAAGAAACTGCCCATATACCTGTTTTAACTTCCCAATAAAGTGATCAGAAATCAGTAATTTGGCCAATTTTACACAATATTAAAAAATTGCCAATTTAAAAATAGGGTCCAGAATAAACAATGTACAGTACAGGTCTCCCTCCACATTCGCGAGGGTTAGGGGATCAAGAACCTTGCGAATGTTGAAAAATCGTGAATGTTTGTGAATGTAGGTGAACAGTATTTTAGATAAGGCTCGAGAGGTTTTTGTGGCATTTATGGATTTGGAAAAAGCGTATGACAGGGTGGATAGGGGGCAATGTGGCAGATGTTGCAAGTGTATGGTAATAGCAGGTAGGTTACTGAAAGCAGGGAAGAGTTTTCACGAGGATAGTGAGGCTCAGGTTAGAGTATGTAGGAAAGAGGGAGATTATTTCCCAGTAAAAGTAGGCCTTAGACAAGGATGTGTGATGTCACCGTGGTTGTTCACTATATTTATAGATGGGGTTGTAAGAGAAGTGAATGCGGGGGTCTTGGCAAGAGGTTTGGAGTTAAAAGCTAAAGAATCAAACACAAAGTGAGAATTGTCACAGTTACTTGTTGCTGATGACACTGTGCTTTTGGGAGATTCTGAAGAGAAGTTGCAGAGGTTGGTGGATGAATTTGGTATGGTATGTAAAAGAAGAAAATTAAAAGTGAATGTAGGAAAGTAAGGTTATGAGGATAAAAAGATTAGGTAATGAAAGATTGGATATCAGATTGGAGGGAGAGAGTATGGAGGAGGTGAATGTATTCATATATTTAGGAGTGGACATGTCAGCAGATGGGTCTATGAAAGATGAGGTGAATCATAAAACTGATGAGGGGAAAGGGTGAGTGGTGCACTCAGGAGTCTGTGGAGACAAAGAACTTTGTCCTTAGAAGCAAAGAGGGGAATGTATGAGAGTATAGTTATACTAATGCTCTTATATGGATGTGAAGCATGGGTGATGAATGTTGCAACGAGGAGGAGAAGGCTGGAGGCAGTGGAGATGTCACGTCTGAGGGCAATGTGTAGTGTGAATATAATGCAGAGAATTCATAGTTTGGAAGTTAGGAGGAGGTGCGGGATTGCCAGAACTGTTGTCCAAAGGGCTGAGGAAAGGTTGTCGAGATGGTTTGGACATGTAGAGAGAATGGAACAAAACAGAATTTCTTCGAGAATGTATATATCTGTAGTGGAGGGAAGGCAGGGTAGGGGTCGGTCTTGGAAAGGTAGGAGGGAGGGGGTAAAGGAGGTTTTGTGTGCGAGGGGCTTGGACTTCCAGCAAGCATGCGTGAGCATATTTGATAGGAGTGAATGGAGACAAATGGTTTTTAATACTTGATGTGCTGTTAGAGTGTGAGCAAAGTAACATTCATTAAGGGATTCAGGGAAACCGGCAGGTCGGACTTGAGTCCTGGAGATGGGAAGTACAGTGTCTGCACTCTGAAGGAGGGGTATTAATGTTGCAGTTTTATAAAATGTAGTGTAAAGCACCCCTCTACCAAGACAGTGATGGAGTGAATGATGATGAAAGTTTTTCTTTTTTGGGCCACCCTGCCTTGGTAGGAATCGGCCGATGTGTCAATAAAATGAAAAATAAAAATAAGGCAATTTCTGGAAGGATTACACAAATTTAAATCGAACATCAACTGTGTGAGAAACATGAGACAGTGAGGTAGTAGATACTATCCGGGAAGTGATAGTACAGGGGAAGGCCTTCAGTGGCCCTTATACACCCAACAACAAACACGATGTTTACGCATCGGTGATTTCGCCCACTTTGAGCCCCATTTTCGGCCAATTCCACTGTACTAGTCAACAAAAATCATAGATATTTCGCTAGAACTTCATTTTTTCTATCGAATGAGTACAAGAAACCATCCATTTACCAATTTCAACTATCCAGTAAAGTGGTCAGAAATTAGCAATTTTGCCAATTTCACACACATATTTCAAAAGATGCCAATTTCAAAATAGGGTCCAGAGTAAACAAGACAGACATTCCTGGCACTAAAAATAACATTTCCTCTGTTCATTAGTCACGTCCCCAGTCCCCTCTTACATTTCTTTACCTTTCCACTTTGAATTTTTATTCTCTCAAAAATAGAAGATTTACTGTTATGCAGGCTACTGCATTAGTGTAGAAATGGTATAAATAATATCAGTGCACTTGTGAAAGAATATTAGACTCACAAGTTGATGTGTATTGGACGCTTGGCATGATTTGTTTACTTTTGAACTTTGGCAAAAATCGAACATTTCTGCTACTTTGAGCTCAATTTCAAGGTACTTTTCATTGTGAAACCAATCAAAATCATCCCAATTTCTGTAATATGTCTTCCATTCTATAAAATGAGACCAGGAAAACTAGAATACAACCATAAATACCATACGAAAATACAGTGCAAAGTCCCTGTTTTAACCCTTTCAGGGTCCGTCCCGTAGATCTATGGCTTTACGTTCAGGGTCCAAACCGTAGATCTACGCCATGAGCTCAGCTCACTCTGATAAACTGTGAGTGGTACATTTGGGCCTAGATATGAGAGAATACATCTATGTGGTATGTGTGCACCACATAAAACAGATCCTGCAGCACACTGTGTATAATGAGAGAAAAAAAATGAAATCATGATTTTTCGATTAAAACAGCAACTTTGCAGTGTTTTTTCGTGTGTTTTTTATAGTTGTATTTGCGATTTCTTGGTCTCATTTGATAGAATGGAAGACATATTACAGAAATAGAGATGATTTTGATTGGTTTTAGCATTGGAAATGGCTTGAAACTGAGCTCAAAGTTGCGGAAGTGTTAAATTTTTGCCGATATTCAAGAGTAAACAAACGACCTCACACGTCTAATACACGTCAGCTGGTGGGTCTAATATACATTCACAAATATGGTGATGATATTTATACAATTATTACAGTATTGCATAACAGTAAATCTTCTATTTTTTGGTGTGAATAAAAATTCATTATGTGAATAAAAAATCAAAATGGAATTTATTTGTAAAGCCTCAAAACATAACTAATGAACAGAGGAAATGTTAGTTTAGTGCCAGGAATGCCTACATTGTTCATTCTGGACCCTATTTTGAAATTGGAATATTTTGAACTTTGTGTTAAATTGGCCAAATTAACAATTTCCGATCACTTTATTTTGTAGTTGAAACAGTTGACTTGACGATTTCTTGTGCTCAATCGATAGAATAGAAGTAATACTAGTGAAATAGCTAAGAATTTGGTTGATTGGAATAATGTAATTGGCCTAAAATGGGAGTCAAAGTCGGCAAAATCGCCGATTCGTAAATATCGCTGACACATCAAAATTCGCGAGAGCATAATTTCGTCAATTTTCCACCAAATTTCGTACTTTTTGTTTTATTACCTTCACAAAAAGATTCTCCACGATTTCACAAGAAAAAATAACAAATTTTTTTTTTTAAAATTCTTGGACACTGGTGCGTGACTCCAGATTTGGGCCTTGGACCCTGAAAGGGTTAAACTAAAAACACAGCCAAAGTTTTTTTTTTTCCCATTACGCACTGTGTGCTGCAGGATTTTTTTTTTATACTGCGCTCAATGACCACATAGACCCATTCTTTCATATGTAGGCCTACCAGCTTTCTCTTGCTAGATTTGAAGGCGCTAGAATTTAGGCGTACTAGTATGTCAATAACCCTGGTGCGTAAGCCATACTAGTATGTCGGAAACCCTGAAAGGGTTAATGCCATATTTTATTCATTATAGAGTATACATCATGTTTCTACATTTTAAATATTGTTTATTATGTCATATTAGATGAATTATGCTAGATAAATAAGCCGTAGAGCTGATATTAGTGTCATATTGAAGGACTATCTTGTCCTTTCACCCAGCACAATTCCTAACATACGCCAGAAACAGACCTCTCTGGAACACTTTTTTGAGCGACAGGGGTCCAGTGACTCTCAAGCTGGTCCTAGTGGCATTAAAAAACAAAGAAGGGAAGTAACCCAGGATAAGGACTTGGTACCTAAAGTCTTTATGGAAGGGGATTCCCCTTCCAAACAATTGTAAACTCCTCCATCGTCTCCCCTCCTCCCATCTTCCATACATCACCATGTCTTCAATAAAGGTAAGTGTGACATTATTATTGTTTTATTCTTCATGTATAATTGTTTTCTGTGTAAGTAAATGTATATTTCATGTAGAAAACATTTTTTTTAATGCTTTTGGGTGTCTGAAATGGATTAATTGGATTTCCATTATTTCCTATGGGGAAAATTAAGTCAGTACATAGAAGTGAGATTCGGGATAAGTCACTCTGGAACAGATTAATTATGTAATCCGGGGATTCACTGTATGTGGAAATTAAATTTTTATAATTTTGCAGATAAATCGAGCCCAGCCCAATGAAGAATACATGCTAGAACTGACGCTTGATGAGGAAAAGTACCATCTTCTTCGCTCAGTACCAGAAATTTCCAACCTACAAGAGCTGGAGGACAGACTCAATTCAACAAACAACTTCTCAGGCTGCATTGTACATATTCGTAAACTCTTCCAGAAAATGCATCACTGCTAGTCGAGACATTTCATTATACTTTTAGTTAAACGTCATTTTGTGTAAAGTATGATTTCTTATGGTTCTTTCCTAATTACATTTTTCTCCTGTAGCTATTCATCAGTATGTGAGGACATGTTTTGTGTTATCAAAGTATTCAGGAATTGTAATTGCTGGAACCTGTACACTGGTAAAAAATAAAATTAAAATAAATGATTATTTTATAATCATATAATTTGACTTTTTTTCATGAATGCTGTAATAAAATAATCAGTCATTATAGTATATGAATACATTATTATGTTTTTCTTAAATATGCTGTCATAAGTTTTACTTCAGAGCATTAATAGTTTAAGAGTTTTATGACTTTTTACTTTCCCTTTTTTGTTATATAATGACAAAGTTTTATACTTTATGAAATAAAGAAGATACTTAAGAGAAATTTCAGTAATCCGCTTATATATTGGTTCTATATTTATTGTGTATTTTTACTAACAGGAAAACAACACTGGATATTCACAAAGCAACTCAGTGTTCCATACATATTTACTGTTAATTTATTTTCTGTGACTGTATTATTATTATTATTATAATCAAAAAGAAGCACTAAACCACAAGGTCTATACATGTACAGTGCTGTTCTGTGACTGTAATTCCTATAGGTAGTAGGTTGGTGGACAGCAACCACCCAGGGAGGTACTACCGTCCTGCCAAGTAAGTGTAAAACGAAAGCCTGTAATTGTTTTACATGATGGTAGGATTGCTGGTGTCCTTTTTTCTGTCTCATAAACATGCAAGATTTCAGGTACGTCTTGCTAATTCTACTTACACTTAGGTCACACTACACATACATGTACAAGCATAAATATATATGCATACCCCTCTGGGTTTTCTTCTATTTTCTTTCTAGTTCTTGTTCTTGTCTCTTTCCTCTTATCTCCATGGGGAAGTGGAACAGAATTCTTCCTCCGTAAGCCATGCATGTCGTAAGAGGCGACTGAAATGCCGGGAGCAAGGGGCTAGTAACCCCTTCTCCTGTATATATTACTAAATTTGAAAGGAGAAACTTTTGTTTTTCCTTTTGGGCCACCCCACCTCGGTGGGATATGGCCGGTGTGTTGAAAGAAGAAGAAGACTGTAATTCCATGCTGCCTGTCTTCAAGACACACTTATGTTTTCCTAACTTCAGTGTGGCCAATGAAAAGACCTGAACAATTAGGTATTTCCTTTATCAACAGTGATTTTGTATATATTCTGATAAGTATATCACTCCTTTTTTGTATGTAGTAAAACCCAATTAATGGACCTTCATTTAACTGTTTTTAGAAACTAAAGACAAAAAAAAATTGGCTGGACAACTATCATCAGGCAAAATTGGAAAAAGTCTGTAGATACTGAATTTTGTCTGTAGCAATAGCGTCTGGTAGTCCTCTGAATCATTGGACCTAATTTGGTGATGCTCTTGTCTTGTATGGGCCAGAGCATCCAGATCCAGGACCTGTCTGTTTTCAACATTTCCTGAGCCACAGGCTGCCAATGTCGGTTTACTGTCTGTGCTTCCTCACAGATACACTTGTCATTCAGTTGCAATTTTCCCTGAACTTAGTGTTTTATGTGACAATTAACATATTAAGTAAAGTTCATTTAACATTGTCTTCTAAAGCTAGTGTTAGTTCCAAGTGGAAATATGTGAATCTGTGTTAAGCAGACACTTGAACTAATAAGTAACGTTGAATCTGGTTTCTCAGTGACGTAGGTATGTGAGGAATGTGGTGTTAAAAAATATTGATACAGTAGGGCCCCACTTACACGGCAGGTTAGTTTCCAGGCTACCGCCGTAAAGCGGAAATCGCCGTAAAGTGGAACACCCTTTTTTTCCCCTTATAAATGCATACACATACTAGATAACAAGTTTACACTAAAATATATTAAGTTAGCAATAGAACTAGGAATCAAAAAACAATAAAAAAGTACAATACACATATAGTACACTCATTACTTACCTTAAAATATTTATAGTCTTAATCTAGGTTGAGACAAGTAGTATTTATTGTAAGAAATCAAGTGTGGTATGTATGGTAGTCAGCCAGGCTACCATACCAGGCCACCCCACCCACACATACTATTCTATGATATTTAAGCATCCCAGAGCGATAAAATGTATATACAGTTCACTCATTACTTACCTTAAAATATTTGTAGTCTTAATGTAGGGTCAGGAGTGAGTAAACGAGATAAAATGAATAAATGAGAGAGAGAGAATGAGTACATGAGGGAGGACAGGCGCAGAGTTATGTAAACAAACCAGGCGAACACAAGTTGAGTAAACAAACAAAGTGTACATGTCTGGTTTGTGTACAGGTTACATTGTGTACAAGTTGTCTCTACATTGATACGGTAGAATAAATAAAGAACACCGCTCCCATTCTCATGTAACACCATTTTTAGAAGAAATGACGCTCTGAGTGAAGGCAATGGAAATAAGTCACTCTGACTTTTTTGGGTTATCCTAGGTTCTCTACACATATGCTGTTATGTACGATAATCTATGTAACTGTATTTGTGTATACCTGCATAAACTTACATACGAAAGGAATAATTTTCTACAGTTACCCCATTTTCTCTTATGCTAGATTAGAGAAAATGTTATTCTTGCCGTCACTTGTACAAGTTATCTGGCTACGACACCTCATATTTATGTTTATTTATTCTATCGTGGGGCGTATTTATCATCTATATATGTTATGTATTGTGTTTATTATATAATTTTCAAAAAAATAACATAGATGGATTAATGAAAATGTGTATATTAACATAATATACGACATTTAATGAGACTCGGTTATTATTATTATTATTATTATCATTTCTAATATGGCGTCACTTGTGCAAGTCATCTGCTACCACATCTCACATTTATGTTTATTTATTCTACTGTATTTATCATATTTATATGTTATGCATCGTGTTTATTATATAATTTTGAAAAAATATCATGGATGAATTAATGAAAATGTGTATATTAACGTAATATACGACATTTAAATGAGACTCGGTGATTATCATCATTACTAATATGACGTCTCGAGACATAAGACACTGATTTTAATGTGTACCTGCATGCCAGCACAGTATGTAAGTTTATTTAGGTACAGGTATACATAAGTATAATTATCAGAGTATATATAAAATATGAAATAACTTTAAAAAGCACTTGAAATTTTGGAGTTTCCAGACATAATGGAGAGACTTAGTGTTTACGGATCTCACGGAGAATGTAAACAAACCGGGTGGGGCACGGTGACCGTGTTAGAAAGTCAGGTGGGGGGAGCCGTATAGCGAGTTTTGGTCATAATTTGAAATGACCGTATTAGTGGAACGTCTTAAAGCGAAACGCCGTCAAGCGAGGCCCTACTGTACATGTATTAGTAGAAACAAGAACTAACCTACAGACTATGCTCTAAAGTTTACTGTAGATGCCAGCCATAGATTCAACAGTTGGATCAAAAAAGCATTAAGAAAAACGAAAAAAGCCCATGAGGAAGAGGCTCAAAAATCATTATGTAAATGGTGTGTTCAGCATTTTTCTGAACACACCATTTACATAATGAAAGTCTATGCATATGAGCATAGACTTTCAGACAAGTGATGATGGGCTTTGGCAGTTCTGTAATAATCGTCATGGCTTGAGTAATGTGCCCCTCAAGGGAGGTTCCTTGATGCTGGTGAGGGGCTCTTGATCTAAGGGATTGGATATGTGCTCCAGTTCCCTGAACTGTGCTTGAATATCTTCCATTTCTGCACATGCACTGTATAATCTTACGGATTTAGCGCTCCCCGTGATTATAATTATATATATTTGAGTAATGTGAAAGCTTTTGGCGAGGTTGGTAGTGCACCCATGAGCAAAGTTGATTTATTCATATTAATGTTTAATGATCTGATAGAGAGTGTATGGTAGAGTTATTATTGAAAGAATTAAGAGTAAGACGGAGAATAGTATAGCAGATGAACAAGGAGGCTTTAGGAAAGGTAGGGGGTGTGTGGACCAGGTGTTTACAGTGAAACATATAAGTGAACAGTATTTAGATAAGGCTAAAGAGGTCTTTGTGGCATTTATGGATTTGGAAAAGGCGTATGACAGGGTGGATAGGGGGACAATGTGGCAGATGTTGCAAGTGTATGGTGTAGGAGGCAGGTTACTGAAAGCAGTGAAGAGTTTTTACGAGGGTAGTGAGGCTCAAGTTAGAGTATGTAGGAAAGAGGGAAATTATTTCCCAGTAAAAGTAGGCCTTAGACAAGGATGTGTGATGTCACCGTGGTTGTTTAATATATTTATAGATGGGGTTGTAAGAGAAGTAAATGCGAGGGTCTTGGCAAGAGGCGTGGAGTTAAAAGATAAAGAATCACACACAAAGTGGGAGTTGTCACAGCTGCTCTTTGCTGATGACACTGTGCTCTTGGGAGATTCTGAAGAGAAGTTGCAGAGATTGGTGGATGAATTTGGTAGGGTGTGCAAAAGAAGAAAAATTAAAGGTGAATACAGGAAAGAGTAAGGTTATGAGGATAACAAAAAGATTAGGTGATGAAAGATTGAATATCAGATTGGAGGGAGAGAGTATGGAGGAGGTGAATGTATTCAGATATTTGGGAGTGGACGTGTCAGCGGATGGGTCTATGAAAGATGAGGTGAATCATAGAATTGATGAGGGGAAAAGAGTGAGTGGTGCACTTAGGAGTCTGTGGAGACAAAGAACTTTGTCCTTGGAGGCAAAGAGGGGAATGTATGAGAGTATAGTTTTACCAACGCTCTTATATGGGTGTGAAGCATGGGTGATGAATGTTGCAGCGAGGAGAAGGCTAGAAGCAGTGGAGATGTCATATCTGAGGGCAATGTGTGGTGTGAATATAATGCAGAGAATTCGTAGTTTGGAAGTTAGGAGGAGGTGCGGGATTACCAAAACTGTTGTCCAGAGGGCTGAGGAAGGGTTGTTGAGGTGGTTCGGACATGTAGAGAGAATGGAGCGAAACAGAATGACTTCAAGAGTGTATCAGTCTGTAGTGGAAGGAAGGCAGGGTAGGGGGTCGGCCTAGGAAAGGTTGGAGAGAGGGGGTAAAGGAGGTTTTGTGTGCGAGGGGCTTGGACTTCCAGCAGGCATGCGTGAGCGTATTTGATAGGAGTGAATGGAGACAAATGGTTTTTAATACTTGACGTGCTGTTGGAGTGTGAGCAAAGTAACATTTATGAAGGGGTTCAGGGAAACCGGCAGGCCGGACTTGAGTCCTGGAGATGGGAAGTACAGTGCCTGCACTCTGAAGGAGGGGTGTTAATGTTGCAGTTTAAAAACTGTAGTGTAAAGCAC